ATCTGAACAGTGAAGTGGCGGGACATGACATTATGGATCACTGTGGTCCAAGCCAATCACACTTTGCATTAGGTCTCTAGACAATAATAACTCCTGCAACACACAATGCTAACAAGTTTCCTCTTATGTCCTATATTTTTACATAAGCTATCGATCGCTAAGGTCCAAGCCAAATGACACTTTCCATTAGGTATCTGGACAATAATAACTCCTGAACACCCACTATAACACCCAATGCTAAGTAATCCAATATTAAAGTAAGCAAAATTTAAGTGAATATAGAAGCTAGCATTATATTGATCATACTAGTATAAGTTGTTTCATCATAAGGCATTATGTGAAAGTTATGATAAAGACATTTGTCAAACAAAAATTGATATAAACAACAATTGCGTGTCAATTCTAAGCTAGTTGGGGTCAATTCTCTTGGTTTTTTGGATCAAGGCGAGAAGGAATGGATATATAGGTGACATGTATAAGTTATACTTCCAATCCCTGCACTACGGTAACCTAATAATTGAATTATGAAGAAATAAAGAACTTCAAAGATTGGAGGTGCACCAAAATTTACTTAATACCTACCTAGAATAGTAGGGTTCATGGAAGCTAATAAAAAGGCAATTCAATATATTGTTCACAAGAGGAAAATTCCTTTTGCATCAGAAATATAATTTTTTTAGCATACAATCAAAACATTACCTGGTCGACAAGGAAGTTAGTTGAGAACCATGAGGTATCAAGTACAATTTTCAGCGGTGGAAAAACTCTAGGTGATTTCTTCTGTTTATGCCTTGAAGGATAGACTTACCTAGTACCACGATCAAGCAAGCAAGATATATGGTTTAGAAATAGAAAGGAAGAGGGAGAGCTACTTGATGGAATTCTAGATGCAAGAACAATAAAGTGAACCACAATCAAGCAAACAAAATATACTATTAAGAAACACAAAGAAAGACGGAGAGATTTAGAAGAAAAAAAGGACGATCTATCAACTAAAAGGCATTTAATTACTAGAGTAAAATATAAAGGTGAAAAGAAATTGAACTCATAAAAGTGAAGACTTACCCAAATAATCAAGAGGGTTCAATTGGACAGATGTGAGGGTTTTCCCAAATTCACAAAGTAGCCTAAACATCAAATGTTCATTCAAAAACCAACCCCTAAAACAAACCCTAATTTCTGCTATTTATAATAGTAGATAAACTAACCTAAGCTAGTTAAAATAATACCCTTGAGCTAAAACGAAGGTAAGTCTAGCCTATTAATTATTTAATATGTAGTCACCTCTTGCTTAAATTTTCATTTTAGTATATTTTAAATCTTCCATGCTTCTTTCATTAATCTTCTAAGGTATCCAAATTACTTTGAATCGACTTGATGGTCTTCATATCCATGATGACTAATCCATATCACATCATGATATGTATAGAACACCACTACATGAATATAATCTTAAATAATTTAAGTTTTAATCTCAAATCACTAAATATATATTAGTAATGTGTAATGACTACATGTGTGATTTGGAATAAAGTAATTAACATCTTCTAGGTAAGAAACTGAAGAGTTTCCTTTGATTCTCCCCATAAATGACTTTTCCCTTTTAGCCAATTTTTAAACTCAAAAAGAAAATTTCAAAATTCTAGAATAATTTTTTCCAACAAAAAATTCCTTCACATGGATAAACAACAAAGAGTTAGAACAGTGATGAATAAAAGAACGGAAAAGATAGGAGTTACATTACCTTGGTTGAGTGACACATCTTGTATGAGAAGAAGAGAGATGAGACTGTTGGAATAGGGATCTGGTACAGCCCATAAGAGAAGAAGGAGTAGAGTAACATTCAGCCGTAAGAAGAAATGAAAGTGATCTCAAAAGGAAGTTGAAGTTAGCTTTTATAGATAGGGTTAATGAAAGTGGGCTTTACCCTAATCAGATTAGAAATAGGTTGTTTTGATTGTTTTATTTTGGGCTTGGGCCAAAACTTTATTTTCATTTTTTGATAATTAATAAAATGGCCTATACGACCAAAAACAATTCTTAAAAAAGGGTTTTCGGGGTAATTTAGGAAGTATCGGAATATCAAATATGGTAAAGAAATGTCAATCATGTAATATTTTCAAAACAGTTAAAATATGAAATTGCCAAGATTTTCGTGAGTTCCTCATATAGAAAATACCTTCACCCCCCTTCACAACTACTTATATTCGGATTGTGTAGGAATATAAGAAATCAAAATTCCATCTATTGTAGATAATGATACTATGAGAGATTTATTGATCACCAAAGATGAAGTAATCCTGAAGAGTTTTCTAGCTCCTCCAAAAATTTGAGAACAATATGAATCGAATTTGTTGATTCTCTCAATGAACTCCCTGCACAATGACCAAGGATGATTTACTCTTTAGATATCAAACTCTAATACACCGTAATCAAGAAAATCTAAAGAAATTATGTCCCCCTAACCATTAGACTTATATAGTAGAGGAATCTGGTAAACATTGAAACTGTGCTCATGTTCAAGTACTTATGTCACAAACTTAAAGGTAGAAAATCCTACCTTTGGTTTGAATCGCCTTGCATGAAGAATGTGCAAACAAGTAAAATTAGTAGATGAGGATAATAGATCGATGTCAGGTCTCCAACTTATCAACTATACCTTCAACCTTTTTTTGTAGCTATGAAAAGGAATTACGCGCATCAAATTAGGAGGGTACAATATTATCATCTCGAGAAAAATGGTCCACATTCTCTTTCATCATTAGCTAAAGGGAATATGAAGAATTCTTACCTTAACTACACTTCCATCTTCAATATTGGCATATCTTACTTTCTATAAGCAAGACTATTTAAGTAAGAAAATTGTATTGCAAGTGAAGAGAAGTGAGTCTTTAATAAAGATGAAGTAAATTTCAAAGAATTTACTATTTTGTATGGTCATAGTGATTTCACAATATCGTTATAACAATAAATATTGAAAAGTGCAAAGAAATATAGGTGAGATGCTTCCTCATAAATATACGAACAACATATTGGGATAACTTGAAAAATAAAAACATTTCAATTAATTGAGGACAAAGAATGGGGGCAAAAAGGAAGAATTCCTAGATTAGCACAATGGAATATAGGAATGGTAATTAAGAGTTCTTTAAGTTACAACCTTACTAGAAAGGTCAAGAAAGAGAAATGTTAACTAACCTTAAAAATACATTTAAGAAAATATTAATGGATAAACTAGCATTCCAAATTGCTATCGTAGTGTCCTTCACGACTTTCTTTCTCATAGCTACCACTTCTACAAGTTCATCACTCATTATCCCATAATTGGTTAATTCATCACAAAGTTGCTTAGCTAAAATGCCAAACTTCACCGTGTTTAACCCTTTCGAAAAGAGAGATTTCAACCTGTAGAACCAAGCTATTCATGATTAGTAAAGAAAAAACATACCATTGAAATGGGCTGGAAAAGTTCTACACACACATTAATATATCGTTGAGTTTTCAAGAGCATAGTTTTAATTTAATAGCAAGAGAATGATGAAATTACAAAGTATAAATGGACAGAGCTCAACAATACTAGTAGGGAGTGTATCAGTTCCACTTCCTTCAGAACTATCCCAAATATATCAAGAGATAAATCAAACAATATGATATTGTCGTTAATGCTGAAAATATTATGGTGATTCATCCAGGTTTGTGGACAAATTTTTGACGATCACCCTGACTTTTTGTAAGGAAATTTGTCGAGATTTATAATCAATTTTTTTAACATCACCATAACTTGATGTTAATGAAGTCTTGCCCAATATCAAATTTTAGTAGTGAAAAACATATTCATCTTACAGTTGAATCTAGGAGGTAGGATGTACACATATCTTATTCATATCTTTGCGGGATAAAGAGTTTTTTTCTAATTGATCCACAATTCAAAAGATGGGTTTATTCAGACCTCTTTGGAAGTTGGTTTTTCTAGTAGTGAACATTCAGTATAATCTCACAAGTGAGTTTGAGGGGGGTAAGAATTAAGATGTACACATATTTTACCCATATCTTTGTGTGATAAAAATATTATTTCTAATAGACCCACGATTCAAAAGAAAAGTTCATAACATGGTTGTAAGGGAAAAAAATATGACAATAAAATAGCAATAGAGAAAACAAATTTAGGTTTATGCGTAGATATTCTTCAACTGATTAGATAGTATAGTTTTTGTTAAAAAAAAAATTAAAAAAAATTACAGGATGATATATATTAATATGGGAAAGTCAAGTAGTTTTGTTGGTGAAATTACAAAATTACAATTGAAAATAAAATAAAGAAAATAAATTTCTAGGTTGAGACATGAATATATATCTTGCTCTTTTTAAGGAGATTTAAGCCCATGGCAACAAGTCTTTTCACCAGTCCAGCAATAATCTTCTTAACTTGTCCTCTCCGGACAACATACCTCAATCTCAAAGTACAAGTCAACAAATATGAGACAAAAATTGAATCCAAAGCTTCATAAAAAGAACATCTCCCTTCAACTAATAAGAACTTTTTTTTACTCACTTTTATGCACTCTATATTTTCTTATACACCGGAAAAAAGTAAGATCATCATTATTTGTAGTGGAGACATTCTTTCTTGCAATAAAAAGGAAGATTGTGGGGTATTAAATTGGGTAGATAAATGGCCTAGAGGTTACATAAATTACAAAAGGGATAAGGCAAAAGTACCCCTGTGGATTGTGACCGAAATCTCAGAGACACACCTAAATTTAACTAGGTCCTATTATCCCCCCCCCCCCCCCAACTAATTTAAAATGGAATAAATATACTACACACACTAACATGGCATAGAGAGTGTGCACACTCACTTGAAGACAAGTGATAAGTGCACAAATAGGACACATGTCATTTATTGATTAGTAATTTTATAATTAGTTAGTACACATATTTATTGATTATAAAACTTATATACATTTAATTATTTTTATTTCTTTCTTTATAAAATAAGGTTAGGAGATTAATTATAGTCTACAATCTACATTGATAATAAACTATGAAATATTACCATAACTACAAAACAAAAGAAATTTAATACACCTAAAAAAACATCTATAAATTTGACCACCTTCTAGTAAGCTTCACTCATTATTTCCAAAATATTCTTATTTTTTCTTTGTTATTCTTCTTTGTTTCCCTTTGCAATCATTATCCTGATCGTTCTTGAATTCGCAAGCCTTATTTCTCACTCTCGTACTCCTCCTCACCAACGACTCACCTTCTTGAGCTTTGTTATGTGCATACTATGCCCTGTTCTCGAATTTTTGTTTGGCCAACATTGGTTTGCCTGCTGCTGCTAATCCACACACAATTTCGCGACATAATTAGGGTTTCTCACAATAATGGCGATGAGTTCAGGCGCGATAAAATATTGAAGAGTTTCATTCGGGTAATAAACAATGACGTTGCTGAAAATGAATAAAATATCTTTAAAGAAATTGGCATTTTCCAAGTTCGAAAAACCTATCTTGTTCTAACATGTTTTGAATAATGTAGATATCCATATGCTGCTTAATTTGTTTAGTATAATATATATCTTCTTGGAAAAAAAAAAATATTAGCACTAGTAACGAATATACAATCCATGTTTTATGATCCTTATACTGTAAATTTGACCTCATAATAATGAGTTTAAAAAGAAAAAAAAACTTTTGGTGTTAAACATGTCAGATACTCCTTTATTTCCGATTTTATGTAACACCATTTTACTATCAATCTATTTAAAAATTATGACATATGTCTATATTTGAAAATAATCAAGCTATACATTTTTTATTTTATCATTAGTGAGAAGTTTTATAGTCACAAAATTATTACAACGTATCTAAGACCACAAGTTTTAGAACTCTTTGTTCCATGTAGAGTCAAAGTAAACATGTCTTTAAAGATAAAAAGATATGAGGTTCAAACTTCATCATGTTTCAATTAAGAAAATACGTTTTTTTTATAATAGATTAAAGAGGAAAGAACGTCACATGAAATAGAAGAAAGAAAGCATTCTTTTTAATTGTCTAAGTTTTAGTTTATAATTAAAGTACAAATATAAGTTTAAGAAACCACAACATATATATAGATTAGCAATGTATTTACCTTTCTGAGAAGTTGAGATTCTAAAAGACAATAATGCTTGTGAGATCTCACCACATCAAGAATTTTTATGAAATCTTGATTAATATTCTCCATTTTGTCATTAGGATTTATCATCTCTTTTTTCTTCATTTAACTTTATTCTTTCTTCAGCTTCTTATTTGAAAAAATTTAAAAAAAAATTCCTACATAAACATAGCATAATTAAAGATACCAATAAGCATATTACCTTTTTGCTGTCAATTTATAATAAAACAATGTGGATATATAATTTCACTCTCATATTGCTATTAGTGAAAATTATAAACACTTGATGGAAATGAAGGATAAAATATGCATTTGAAGAGAGATTATAAATAATCTTACAAACTCTTGGAGAAATAAAGATCGTAACATACAAAGAATTGCTAGTTGGAGAATCTTAGTAGCTATGTTGGTTGACTAGCTGAATTTTCAATTTATTGGTGAGGGTTTGACCCTACCTTGTAATCCCCTTCTCCATTTTCACTTTCTCTAACTCCAATTTTATTTTTTAAAATAAAGAAGAATTTCTAGTTTGGAAAGTCACCAAAAATAATATAAAGTTTTTTCTCTTGGGAGAATTAAGCAATTTGACTTATCAAAATTTATTTTTTCCTTTTTAGGTTTTTTTAAGTGTACCAAAAAAAATAGATCTACAACATAAATTTGGACAATAAACGTAGCCAAAATTAATGAATAATTATTTGGGGCCAATTATCAAAGCTAACAAGTTGATGGATTAATGATTAGTCAATCATTGGTTGATGATATGATAAATTTGGCTTATAGTATATGATAAATTTGGATCAGAGTTGTTGTCACTAGTTTTCAAAGCCAGTGGCTTTAATCTTGAATTTTATTACGTTGTCATCATATTATAAATTGAGTTTTAATATATTGAGATATGTAATTAAATATTAGGTGTATTGTATAATTCGAATATCATTAAAGTGATGATAATTAGAGCAATTGAAACTTATCCTTAGGCTTGAACTTTAGGAAAGTGACTATAGATTTGGGTGAGTTTTTGGGTCTAGGCTAGACATATAGTAATATGGGTGTATATAGACTCGGTTACTTATGAATTATGCATGTTTAATAGATTGAAAGCGTTCGAAGGCATTGAAGAAAGGAAAAGTTTTGAAGAATTAGCTTGCTCGACTTCAATTCCTCGGTGGAGGTAGATTAGGGTTTATTCTATGTGATAGATAGACTCTTAATAGTAATTGATAATCATTGAGTGATATTGTGAATTTCTTTATGTACTTGGTTGTGTGGTTTGGAGAATCTATGTGTTGTTTGTGATTGGTCTGAAATCCTGAGACCGTGAAATTTATAATTTTGAACTTTCTCTATCAAAGTGATGCCTTGAATAAAGAAGGCTTGATGAAATATTGTTAATAAAGTGAAAAGTGGTGATAATAAATGATAAATTAACGATATATTTGGATCGGGTGCCACGAGCCGGCACGATGTTATTGGATCGGGTGTCAGTTCCGGCACGACAACATTAAAGGAAAACATATATAAACAATGTAATGTACTCAATCTCAAAGAACTCAATTCCTAAAATAGCTTAGTTTGGAGGCATGAGTCCCCATGTGTGCTCTTGATATTGTTGACTGATTACGTACTTACTTTAGTGTTGTTGTCACTTGTTCATGTTGGTTGTTGCTTGCCACCTACTAAGTGTCATAGTTGATTTTATACTATTACTCGTTGCATATTAGTTTTTTTTCTTTTTTTTTTTGAGATTGAGTACATTACGTTTTTTTTTTTAGTACATTACGTTGTTTATATATGTTTTCCTTTAATGTTGTCTTGCCGGAACGTGACACCTGATCAAATAACATCGTGTCGGCTCGTGGCACCCGATCCAAATATATCGTTAATTTATCATTTATTATCACCACTTTTAACTTCATTAACAATATTTCATCAAGCCTTCTTTATTCAAGGCATCACTTCGATAGAGAAGGTTCAAGATTATAAATTTCACGGTCTCAAGATTTCAGACCAATCACAAACAACACAGATTATCCAAACCACACAACCAAGTACATAGAGAAATTCACCATATCACTCAATGATTATCAATCAATATTAAGAGTCTATGTCTATCTATCACATAGAATAAATCATAACCTACCTCGACCGAGGAATCGAAGTCGTGCAAGCTAATTTTTCCAAAGCTTTTCCTTTCCTCAATGCCTCTGAACGTTTTCAATCTATTAAACATGCATAATTCATAAGTAAACGAGTCTATAGACACCCATACTACTATATGTCTAGCCTAGACCCAAAAACTCACCCAAATCTAGTCACTTTCCTAAAGTTCAAGCCTAAGGATAAGTCTCAATTGCTCTAATTATCATCACTTTAATGATATTCAAATTATACAATACACCTAATATTTAATTACATATCTCAATATATTAAATCTCAATTTATAATATGATGACAACGTAATAAAATTCAAGATTAAAGTCATTGGCATCGAAAAGTAGTGGCAACAACTCTAACCCAAATTTATCATATACTATAAGCCTAATTTATCAAGTCAATGATTGGCTAATCATTAGTCCATCAACCAATTCATTATCACCCTCACTTTCTTATTCAAAATCCAAACTCCCAGCACATCCGCTAACACCCACTTTCAATTCATATCTAACCATGAAATATTATTATATAATACTTAACCCCCTACCATTAAATAAGGACATTGAAGATTCAAAACATTACCTCGATGTCGGTCTTCCTTGTTAGACGCCGCAAGTAAAGTTTCTCGCCTAGTTTTCACTTTTCTTTCTTTTACAGATTATTTCTTACCCTAATTATTATACATGACCAATTAAGCTCACTACTAATTTTAATGTTATTTTCTTTAACCACCGACTAAATTAATTATTAAAATTACCCCATTAGTTATATACCTATAGTTACGAATAGTCCAAAATACCCATTTAGAATTTATCAGAAGAGTCTTTTATGAAATAAGAAGCTATAGTACCCAAAACGACCTAATGGGTTGTTACAATGGCTGACGAACACCCAGCAGAAAACACCAAAAATAGTTGGGAAAAGGGAAAAATAAGCGTAATGTGACGCATGCGTGTTAACACCATAAAGTTAAATCTGGTTATTATTCTCCCAGACAGTAATAGAGACTAGCATCAGAAAGAGGAAGAGTTACCGTAAGAGATATATTCTTACTGTGGCAGTAGCATATGTGGGTCCAGATCCATCAATGAAAATTAGACCTTTCTCTGAAGCTTGATCCATAGCCTGCAGATGATAGTCAACAAATCAAGAGAACATAGGATGAGAAAAAATAATGGTGACAACGGCGATGACAAAGATGATCATGATAATAATACTACTAATAATAATAAATAAATATTAACAACGATAACAATTATTACAATGACATCACAAATAACAAATAACAATAGGAATAGTAACAATACTAAGGATGATGACAACAATGATGCAAAGTAATAATAATGTGGAAAACATTCCCTCAGTTTCAGAAGGAATGGACAAGTTAGGAATATGAGAGTACAACCATTCAATTTTCTATCGCAGTTCATCAATTTCTTTATTTTCCTAAATTTAAAATTATATAAAAAGTATTGTTACTAAATCTTTTACAACTAAGAATATTTAGATAAAGCACACATTGAGGATAAAATGGGAGAAATGATGTTTGAGATGGTTTAGCCATGTCCTACGTCAATTTATGAATGTGAAACCATAGCGAGTGAAAGTGTTAACAAAGAACGAGGTAAACCTAAAATCACATGAAAGAGAGTTGTCTCAAAGGACCTATAGTCTCTTGAAATCCATGCGGGCCTAAGCAAAAATAGGGAACCCACCATTTCTCCACGTGTTACAATTTTTTTAAAGAACAAATTCCAAAAATAAGGTAAAAAGTTCTTATGCTAGACTCTTTACAATATATGACAAAACTACGCATGTGGACATTACAAATTAAAACATTATTTTAAACTATGTGGACTCTTCACTTTCATGGTGCACTCTTAGTGAATGGCAATGACATGAGTATGGGTGGTTCACATACTACTTTAAGATAGAATAAATCCCACTAAAAGTGAAAGCGGCCATGCAGAATACGTACCAATATCGACTTTTCAAACCCAAATCTTCATGTAACATCAGAATAATAGATGACTTTTAAGCAATAGCCCAAAATTGAAAAAAAAAAAAGAGGAATGCCAAGCATGAGATCATCTCTATCTACGGATCAAAACAAAAACCCGTATCCATGATCGCATGGATTGAAAATATTAAGGAAATGTAAATTTTTAGATCGAATTCAACGTTTATTTGTGTGATGGAAGTCATTATTTTTCAA